CCATGTGTTAGTCATTAAAGAATTCAGTGTTATCTGATCTTAGTCATTAACTATACTTCTTGGACATAGCAACAATGGGTCAAGGGCTAAATATTACTGAATTTGGGGGTACTACTGGACCCTTATAAGACTTAGTTACTTTCAAATTTGTTTTGTAGTATTCAAGTTGTTTTCTATCTATGTATATCTGATTCAAGTGTATTTTTGGTTGAAAGGTTTATTTCTTTGAGAAATTGGAATAAAATTGATGATTTAGTCAAATATATACCTAAATCCGACTTTTATTTTGCAGGTAAAAGAAAGAAAAGATCATTTCGTTAAGCTGGAAACCCTTGATTCTGGAAAACCATTTGATGAAGCAGTGTTGGACATTGTGAGCGAACAATTTGAATATACTCTTTTAGATTCTTGACTCCGCATTCCTATTGAGTTTCATGCTTCGATTGCATTTTTTTAGGATGATGTTGCTTCATGTTTTGAATATTTTGCCGGACAAGCCGAAGCTCTGGATGCCAAACAAAAGGCTCCAGTCACCCTGCCTATGGATAGATTTAAAAGTCATGTTCTCAGGCAGCCCATTGGTGTTGTTGGATTAATATCCCCATGGTAATTCCTTCTGCCTAAAATTGCAATGCTTGGGGCCTTTGGCTGTGCCATGCTTACTGTTAGTTTGTTACTGATCCTTTTTAATTTTTTTTGTTTTCCCTTTTCTTTCTGCTGAAGGAATTACCCACTTCTAATGGCTACATGGAAAATTGCTCCAGCACTTGCTGCTGGTTGCACAGCTGTACTTAAACCGTCAGAGTTGGCATCTGTGTATGTTATTCACCAAAGCTCTATTATATAAACATGCTTTCTCTATGCAACAGTCAATGCTAATGTCAGATAACAAATTGTATGGCTTTCAGGACTTGTCTAGAATTTGGTGAAGTTTGTAACGAAGTGGGACTTCCTCCCGGTGTGTTGAATATTTTGACAGGATTAGGCCCTGATGCTGGTGCACCAATAGTATCTCATCCTGATATTGACAAGGTTTTACCTTCCCCCCACAAGCTTTGCCTTTTAAAAACTTTTTGTGATTCATATTGTTTTAAATGTGACCATATTTTTGAATAAAACAGGTTGCATTTACTGGGAGTAGTGCCACTGGCAGCAAGATTATGGCTTCTGCTGCCCAGCTAGTTAAGGTAGAGAAGTTCAGCCAAAATTTCAATCTTCTTTCTATGTTTTGTGTGCCCCCATTTCTAACCTTAACTTGATTGCAGCCTGTTACATTAGAGCTTGGAGGTAAAAGTCCTATTATTATGTTTGAAGATATTGATATTGATACAGGTTAGTTGATCTAAGATCAAACAAAATTTGGTTCTTTTAGTATCTAATATATCTTTTTATTTCAGAATCAAATTTTTCTGACCTTTGTTCATCAGAGAAGCTTAATCAATTCCATCTTTTAACATATTGAAATTTGTAATTGAGCAGCTGTTGAATGGACTATTTTTGGCGTTTTCTGGACAAATGGTCAAATATGTAGTGCAACGTCTAGACTTCTTGTGCATGTAAGCATCCTATTTTGCAAGAAATTTGATGAATTGACGTTAACTAGTTACCGGTATTGATTTTCATTACTAAGTATGTACAAGTCTGCTAAGAAGGATCCTTTTCTGACTTTGGAATTATCTGTTCAATAATCATTTTACAGGAAAGTATTGCAACCGAATTTGTTGATAGGATGGTTAAATGGACAAAAAACATAAAAATTTCTGACCCATTTGAGGAAGGATGCCGGCTTGGCCCTGTTATTAGTAAAGGACAGGTATTGTGGCTTATTTCTTAATTTTAGCTTTTACAATTCTGAGCCAGCGGAACCATCTAATGTTTACTTCATTTGCTTCAGTACGACAAAATTATGAATTTCATATCAACAGCAAAGAGTGAAGGGGCAACTATTTTGTATGGAGGCTCCCGCCCTGAGGTAAAATAAATTTGTTTCTGAGTACAAAAATAGAATTATTTGGTGAACTGCACATTAAATTAAATAGAACAAAGTTTATTTGGAATCTGATAAGCATCAAATTAAATGCTAATATGAATGTTTGGAACACACTCAGCATATTACCCCTGAAAATATAATCTTCAGAATGCTACCTTTTTTTTTCTTTTTCATTTTGGGTACTAGAAGCAAAATGGTTTACATGCTAAATCCCTATGCATAAATCTGTTCATACTATAATCTTGTTAAACTTGCAAACCCAACTTATTTACTGATAATTTAATTAGTAATATTATTGCTTCAAGCTAACCGCGCAATGCTAAAACCTAATGACTAACGAGGCCTGAATCTGTGATGTATTTGTACAGCATTTGAAGAAAGGGTATTTTATTGAGCCCACCATTATTACTGATATCTCCACATCCATGCAAATATGGAAGGAGGAAGTATTTGGTCCTGTCATATGTGTTAAAACATTTAGTACTGAAGATGAAGCCATTGAATTGGCAAATGATACACAGTAAGTTTGTCAAATAATGATTCTGCCTCCTTAGAGAAACTCTTCCTTGTATTGATCTTAGTTTGTAATTTCCAGGTATGGTTTAGCTGCTGCTGTGTTTTCTAAAGATCTTGAAAGATGTGAGAGGGTAACTAAGGTAAGTATAATTGTACCAGTCAAGTAAACCATGTTGTTTTCTTGGTTGATTCAAGATTTAGCTCTGCAAGTTTTGTCTATTCCTTATTTGTTTGGTTATGCAGGCTCTAGAAGTTGGAGCTGTTTGGGTTAATTGCTCACAACCATGCTTTGTTCAAGCTCCATGGGGAGGAATCAAGCGTAGTGGATTTGGACGTGAACTTGGAGAATGGTAAGCTTACACTAACAGAATCTCTCTTTTCTTATTCACAGTGAATCGTGATTTCTGCTACGATGCTTCCTCCTTGATGTATACTCTTTGTAAATTCTACAGGGGTATCGAGAATTACTTAAATATCAAGCAGGTGACTAGTGATATTTCTGATGAACCATGGGGCTGGTACAAGTCTCCTTGAAGCTGTGAGGTAATTTGAATATCGGCATTGTAGTAAAGTGAACTGTGGTGAGACTGGATCTTGAAATGATTCACAGAGGTCTAGTTTACAGTATGTATGGAGTGAATAAAGGTTGTTTGATGCTGGAGTTCCGCTTAGCAAAGCTTAATTTTGTTGCGTGTATTATTACTTCAGACAATTGAATTGGATCAGAAATAAGATGGTACGTAGTTTGACTACGAAACTCTTTGTTCATCTACAATTCTACACTCGCAAGTCATGAACTCATGACACAGTATGTTCTGTACTTCTGTTTTTCTATTCATGTTATTCATTAATTCCTTGCTTAAGTTTCGACAGTGGAGCTGAATGAGGGTTTATGACTGTATACTATGAGTTTCATTTGAGTTACCATCACCTCTAGGCAGATGGAGTAGAACAGACAATTATTACTTTGATGAAGGCAAAATTCATACCTTTGTGATTTTCGGGATCGATGTTGGAAAATCTCAGATAAATTTTCATAGTATTATGTCTTTCTAAAACTTCATTGGATCACTAGAGATCTCCCATTAAGTATGCGCCAAATAGCTCAACCGTATAATAAATATAAACGAAGGTGAATTGTATCATTTGTATCATTGTATGTGCCAACCTTGGGCAAAAAATGAGATTAACCATCTTCCTGTTTAAGGGTAAAAGGGCTAATAGCATAACTTGTTTTATTGTTTATTATTCATCAGTACTTATTATATGTATATACAAACCTTAAGAGTTAAGATAACATAATAAGATAGGAAACATTAAACATACCATATTTCCAAAGGTATGACTCACTAATCACTACAAGTACATTATATCAACATTATTTAGCAAATCAAATCCTATAAATAAAAAAAAAAAAAAAAATTGTTTACCTAATAATTCACACACGTTCATGACAAAATAGAGGGAAATGATTTTGGCACACCCTCAATTGCTTTTGGCACACCCCTATGTGAGAGCACAGTTTTCTATGCTCTTCTCACATAGGGGTGTGCCAAAATCAATAAAGGGTGTGCCAAAATCAATTTCCCAAAATAGACCATTCCAACCTCTTTTTATTTACCCCTCTTGTGATGAGAAGGACACTCCCGTATTTTACCATAATATAATAATAATACGGAGTAATAAAAAAAATAAATAAAAAAAACTCTTCTTAGGGCTTGTTTGACATTGTTTTTGTTTTTCAATTTTAAGTTTTTTTTTTAAAACAAAAAATCAAAACAAAAGAAAAATGTTTTCACTTTTTAATTGTTAGTTTTCCAATTTATCATAATTTTAATAAGTTTTAAACTTTGGTTCATTATATGATGGGTCATATAAGCATCTAATATACTTCCTTTTATTAGTATTTAGTTGTGAATTTATCGACAATTCACGAGTGAATCGGTGTAATAAATGTTTATTTATTGTCAATTATTTCTATTTTTAGCTTCTTATATGCAGCTCTAAGGGTAGCATATATCATTTTCCTTATAAAACAAAGATACCACGATAAATCTGATTTATTTATGTTTGTGTTGTTTCGTAAAGAAGATCATTTCAACTTGTGTCACTTAAACATTATGTTAAACGAGTATAACTTTAGAACTTCCTTTGTTTTTTTAATATTGCACCAGGTTGACTTCTACATTATTCACATGCTTTCTTCTAAATAACAAACCCAAATAGCTCGATCTTTTTTTTTTCTCTTTTTGTATTTAAGACCCACAAGGACGATCGATGATAATCGATCTCATAACTACTTAAAACCGAAAGAAAAACTCTAACCACTTGAATTATCTCATGCTCTCAATCCATCCAATAACTAGTTTCAAGTTTCTAACTTTTAGTAGCACAATACCAAAAGTACTCCAACATTTTAAGGAAAACAGAGTAACATCTCTACAAAAAAAAAAAAAAAATTAAAATTGTGGCACAATTCCCAATCCATTCTAGAATAATCCATAGGACAATAGCGGTTTAAATCATCAACCTCAATCTTCACGTGTTTTTTCTCCTTCAAATCCTCTATATTATTTCGTATTATTTCATCAACTTTCTTTCTACTCATTTCTCTTTATCCAAGAAAAATGGCGATTCCTTCTCGTCAGCTATTCATTGACGGTGAATGGAAAGAACCCATCAACAAGAATCGCATTCCTGTCATCAATCCTTCCACTGAAGAGATTATCGGTTAGTTTAATCGAAAAAACCCATAAATTTCTTTAAGTGTCATGCTTTCTTTCAACTTAATTTCTTCATTTTTAGACTTGTAGTTCATTATGATCCTAGCATTGTGTTATTCAACTGCTAAAGATTTGCTTATAGTGTATATAATTTGATGGGATTTTTTTATTTATTTTTCTGATAGTGTGATTTATTGGGATTTGAGTTTGTGATTGCATTTTTTGACTTGGGTATTTGTTGAAATTTGATGTCTTTTTTAAATCATCTCTGAACTTGATGTAGTACTGGTAACATTTTTTTATATTGGGTTTGATTGGAAGGTGATAGAATGATTTATTGGGGGATTGAAATTACTTTTTTGTGGATTTGTTGATTAGAGATTGATATTGTTTTTTAACAGTGATTGATATTGTATTTAATGAACTGGGTTGTTAATCAAAATGGGGTTTTACTCCCATAGGTGACATTCCGGCAGCAACTGCTGAGGATGTGGAGCTTGCAGTGGCTGCAGCTAGAAGGGCTCTAAAGAGGAACAAAGGGGCAGATTGGGCAGCTGCATCTGGAGCTCATCGTGCCAAGTACTTACGTGCTATCGCTAAGAGGGTATGGATTTAGTGGCTGATTTGATCGGATTTGGTAATATGATCATGTTTTGATAAGTTTGTGTAGTTGGAGTACCAATGCTAATTTTTTGGAGGTTGGAATTGTAGGCGAATTGGAACACTTTGGTTTTGGGTTTGATGATTCTATTTTTATTTGATCAAAGTGGAGGAGTGATAAAATGGATAGCACATGTAGTATATGTTTGGAAAACTTTGTTAGAATGCTAGGTGAAAGATGAATTTTAACTTAATGTTAAAAGCTACTAGCTGGAAATTGGAAGTTAATCAGCTAGTTGATTGCACTACAAGTGTTGGTTAATTATCTTTAATGTCTTTATTTTTGCTTTTAGTGGGAATTTGCAGAAGACTTTAGGATATATCATTTCTCCTCATTTCATTTGAGTTCAAGATTCTCTCTTGAGCAACATTTCAACTTTGTTTTTTAATGGATGAACATATTATGCATGGATGTTCAGTTTTTATCTAAGTTGAAGGTGTGTGTTAATGCCTATCGGATCTTCTAGTAATTTGAGTGAGCTTGTAGGTTAGCTAGTCAGAGAATTTGAGCACTTTTGGTGATACCACTGAATGGTTAAGTACTATTGTAGTGGATTTCCTAGGTGTATATCTTATAATAGTCTTGAGGTCTGTCTTCGCTTTCCTAGCTTTTGGGATGTAAGGCTGACTGTCCTCGTTTCCCATTGGTATTCAAGACTCAATTGTATGTAATCCTTGAAGGGTCATATATTGGTTGAGAATCAGGGGGTAGCGTAGTAGTAAAGTTCCCACCTTCCTTATATCCTTTAGGTGTAAGATGCTTAATCACTTGTCTTTGGCTGGGAATTCTCTTTGGAGATCTCCTTCACACCACCTCCCCCCCCCCCTCCACGCAAACAAACCCTCATATTGCCTCGTTGGACCTGCAGATCTCCAAATAAAATATGCTTCGCCTCTCTCTATCTTTACACAGGGGTACTTGGGTAGAAAATATGGATCTGCTTGATACTGGTGTGGACTTCAGGGATTGCAATATCAAGGCTTACTTTAGCTTCACATGCAGGTAACAGAAAGAAAAGATGAATTTGCAAAGCTTGAAGCCATGGATTGTGGAAAACCTTTGGATGAAGCAGCATGGGATATTGTAAGCTTGTAATCTTGTGTTCAATAATTCTTGATTCTGTGTCTTTCTTGAGTACTAATTAGTAACCAAGGCTTTTGTTCTTATGTACAGGATGATGTTGCTGGGTGTTTTGAATACTATGCTGATCAAGCAGAAGCTCTTGATGCAAAACAAAAGGCTCCAATTGCCCTTCCTATGGAGACATTCAAGTCTCATGTGCTCAGGCAGCCCATTGGTGTTGTTGGGTTAATTTCTCCGTGGTAAGTTTTGACCTTAGCCCCCATCCCTCAAAATATAAAAGGTGAAAATGAAACAACTTTAAAGAACTCCCATTTGTTGGTGTCATCAGATTTATTTAGGGAAGATAGTAGTAGTGTTGCTAACTAAATTGACAAGGCAATCAGTCAAATTGAGGAAGTGCAACATGATACCACAAGAATACAAGATTACCTCAGTCATTGTCATTTTGTACCACATGATTAATCTTCATTGTCTTTATGTGTACTGAGTACCTTGTTTGGGTGGATCATATGTCCATATCATCTAGACAGACAAATAAGACTAGATATGGGCTATGAGATTTTAGCAAATTTTCTTTTTAGCATCCCATGCATTTCGAATTTTACACTAATGACACACTTGAGTTTGACATCTTACCTAAACTGAGAACACTGTAGTTCATAAGGTATTTGGATTAAGATCTCTTTACAGAATTACAGCTAAATCTGATGCTTAGTGTTGCTAATCTTTTTCTTTGTTGAAGGAACTACCCACTTCTTATGGCTACATGGAAAGTTGCTCCAGCTCTTGCTGCTGGTTGTGCAGCAATACTTAAGCCCTCAGAAATGGCATCTGTGTATGTTTCTTGTCAAAACATTTCAAGCTAGAATCTCTTTCTGATGCTTCTTTTATACTAATACTTTGTTACATGATTTCTTATATCAGGACTTGTCTAGAATTGGCTGATGTGTGCAGAGAAGTGGGACTTCCTCCAGGTGTGCTAAATATATTGTCAGGATATGGCCCAGAAGCTGGTGGCCCATTAGCATCCCACCCTGATGTTGACAAGGTTCATCCTTGGCTCCTTGTCCTCTTTAAGCTTTACGTTCTTAGTGCATTTGTGTAGCTCCCCGAATATTGAATATGTGGATGTGAACTCTTCTTCATATGCTTCTGTCCATCACATTTCTGTTTAATAGGTTGCATTTACTGGGAGCACTGCTACTGGTAGCAAGATTATGTCTTCTGCTGCTCAACTGGTCAAGGTATGTCATAGCATGTTTAGTCCATATATAAATTTTTGTGAAATTAATTATAGTTCCTTTGACAACATCAATTCTAACATAAACTGCAGCCTGTTTCATTAGAACTTGGTGGGAAAAGTCCAATTATCATCTTTGAAGATGTTGATTTGGATCAAGGTTAGTGGGCATTAAGTTCAGGCAACGTCGGTGCTTTATTATCTAGTAAAAGTGTAAAACTTACGATCAAATACATCTCATAACATGTCAAAATCTATTTTAAATTGGACAGCTGCTGAATGGGCTGCTTTTGGCTGTTTTTGGACTAATGGTCAAATCTGCAGTGCAACATCTAGACTGCTTGTTCATGTGAGTGTCCACTTGCAACAGAACATCTCCTGAATTTCGATGGTTTATTGTTTTTGTGTTGATATAAATGATATTTGTACTTTTGTAGGTTAGTGTTTTCTACAGTTTAATTAGTGTTTTCTACAGTTTAATTTTGTAAAGTTGAATCCATACAATCTTTTCAGGAAAACATTGCAGCTGAATTTTTGGACAGGCTTGTTAAATGGTGCAAAAACATTAAGATTGCTGACCCATTTGAGGACGGTTGCCGGCTTGGTCCTGTTGTCAGCAAGGGACAGGTTTGATAAATTCTTTCCTTTTCTTTTTGGCTTTATTTATTCTTAGCTATTCTGCACGGCATATTAATGTTTACTTCATATTCTTCAGTATGAGAAAGTTCTGAAGTTCATTTCAACTGCAAAGAGTGAGGGTGCAACTATTTTGTGTGGAGGCTCTCGTCCTGAGGTAAATTAGTGGGTGTACTTGTTACTAGCCACTAATGTAGTTTCTATAACCTAATATTATATTTTCATGGAACTATGCAGCATTTGAAGAAAGGGTATTTCATTGAACCAACAATTATAAGTGATGTCTCTACATCCATGCAAATATGGAAGGATGAAGTTTTTGGCCCTGTCTTATGTGTTAAAACTTTTAGTTCTGATGAAGAGGCCATCGAATTGGCAAATGACACCCAGTAAGGCTTTTGAATAGTGGAGCTGCTCAAAATATATTTTAAGACTCTTACCTTCTGTATACCTGCTCTCCCAGTTCATGAGCATCCTATTCTGACCATTTTCTGTATTTCACAGATACGGTTTAGGTGCTGCTGTGCTATCCAAAAATCTTGAAAGGTGTGAGAAAGTGACAAAGGTGAGAATTATTATCTATTAGAGCTTATTTGAATGTCGAACCATTTGTCAAACCTAGGTTTTTATGCTGTTTATTCATGCTTTGATCCAGGCCCTGGAAGTTGGAATTGTTTGGGTGAATTGCTCACAACCGTGCTTTTGCCAAGCTCCATGGGGTGGCACCAAGCGCAGCGGCTTTGGACGGGAACTTGGAGAATGGTGAGACCTTAATTTTTTGCGTTGTACTATTAATTCCTGGAATCCTGATCTATAAATGATGCACATTCTTTTAACTCTGATGCGCATATAGCATCAAACTGTTCAAATTTAGGGTATATACAGAACAAATTTAGGGTATAGCATCAAACTGTTCAAATTTAGCAATCTGCTTGTGTCTCCTTCCTGCTTTCAACATTTTTGATGATCCTGTATAGTTAACTTTGAAAAGTAGCGAATACGGCCTTAATGCATTCGTAGACGCTGTTTCTATTTAGACTACAAAAGCAGTGTATAAAGATTAATGACCCAAACAGATCTACATGGAAAGTTATGGTGACGAAGAAAGGCAAACTTTTGGCAAGGATCGTAACTAGGGAATGAGGATAGGATGGATTGGAGAGATGAATATTGGAGAAGAGGAAAGGGGTCAAAAAAGAGGAGAGTTTAGAGAAAGTGTTTGTTAGATTTTGTCCATTGTCCAATAAGATGTTATGGATTGACTTAGTATTTTCTGATTCAAAGACTAATTAAGAGATAAAAGCTTGATACTTTGATTAATAATGGCTGAATTGGATACAAAAGGATAGATTAATAGCTTAAGGCTATCACTCTCTTGATAACTTTAGGTTATCATTCTCCTAGTAACTTGAGGTTACTACTCTCAACATTTTTCCTCATAATTCACACATAAAGCCTAATGCATATACAGATATACTATCCCCTATTTATACTAAGGAGTTAAGGACTACTAACCTAAAACCATCTAAACATCCCAAATTGCCCTTCCTAAGGTTAATCTATTACATAAGATCAGTTCTCTTTGCTCTTGCAGCATCCTATTTTTATGATATTGAGTACCAATTCTCTAATACATTATCTACTTCGTAAACGATTTTCTATATGGTACAATGCATTAATTTTTGTAATTTCTTCAAATTACTTAACTTGTTGTGGTGCTCTTATTTGCTATCTGAAATAAGGCCTTTTTTCAGCATCACACGTTATAAGTTATGAGTTAGTATAGGAACCATTGTAACTTGAAAGGGCCTTCATGTTAACAAATTTATGTCTTGGGTTGACCAATTATGTATCTATGGTAAAGACTAAAGAATATTTCATAGTATTCTATCAGCGTTGTTGTCTGAGTTCGGAGAAATAATCCTAAGTTGACAACAGAGAGATGTTTATGAGGAATTAGCTTATAGCTTTTTGTGACATATTTGTTGATTGCATGAAAGACGTAAACGAATTTCTCTTAGCTCTTCAGCTCTTGTAAATTGAGGTTTTTTTCCTTGACTTTTTCTGCAGGGGTATTGAGAATTACTTGAATATCAAACAAGTGACTGAATATATCTCTGATGAACCATGGGGATGGTACAAGAATCCTTCAAAGCTTTGAAGAAATTTTAGTGGGTGTTATTAAAGCAATGGAGGTATCGAGATATCGAGGAACATGTCAAGATTGAAATACGGAGCTTACAGATAGTTTGAATAAAGAGGCTGAATATTAAGAGTGTATTATTTGTGTTCTCTACTGTACTACTTGATGGATATTCATTCTTCGATCTTGTAAGCAATGTAGTACGTACTACACAGACTTGATCCTCTCATTAATGGACGTAAAAATTTTATTGTGTTCATTTTGCCTCACAGAGTTGAACTCGTCGTGAATAAGCAAGGTAGACTTGATCCTTTCATTATTGGATATACCTCAAATATTGGCGAAAACGAGAATTAAAAATTGCTTAGCTTGAAGGTTATTCGTCTCATTGGATTTCCAAACCCCCCAGATTACAGTGTTTCCAACCACACCTTCATAATTAGTATATTAGTAGAAAATATGAGATTGCAAAGGTTGAAGGAAAGAATAGATGTAAATCATCACATTGATGGATGTAAATTGGCTTTTTTTTTTTTTTTTTTAATGTTTTTTTTCTCATGAAATGTGTTAAATCAGATATGAGATATTACACACCCAAATGATGGATATTACACACCTAATTACGGGATCCCCAACAATTTTATCATACCATCTGTTTTTTTTTTTTTTTTTTTTTTTGAAAATCATAGTAGATACTCATAGAAGAAAATCGTATTTGACCAGATCAATAAATGTAATTAAAACTTTATTTGACTCTATAATTTATATATAGGATTAAACATTTAAACATAGTCACGTAGGTTGTACTAAAACGAGGTTAAAGAACCAATAGACACTTAGGGCCTGTTCTCATTGACTGAACTCAGCTGAACTGAACTGAACTGAATATTTTATAAAAGAAGAAAATTAGAAGCTGAATTGAATTGAACTGAACTGAATTTCAACGTAAGAAAATAGACCCTTATTATGCACGCACTATGGCACTAGTAGCACGTGCTTACATTTGACATGTTGTGGTTCCAATTTGGAGAGCACGATTCTATGTGCTCGAGTCTTACTTAGATGCATGGTATAATTTGCGGATCCAGTATATCCGCCTGAATCGAACATAAAGTGTGACGGTGGAATTCGTTTGGATTCACAACAAATTGCCAAATTTTAAAATAATGCAAAAAAAAAAAAAAAAAAAAAAACGTTAAATTACCAACAACCTACCTTTCTTCAGGCTCCAGCTCATCAATCTCTCTCTTTGAGTGTAAATTAATCAACCACCTCGTATCTTATACAATATAGATCTCCATTATCTTCATTCTTCACTCACTCACTCTTACATCGTATTCTAACTCCCTGTTTCCGCGCTTCAAATCTTCAATTGCTACCATTAAAAACCACTTCTTTCCATGCTAATTTTAGTCCTTTATTCTTGAATTTTTGTGGGAGTTGCTTGATTTTAACAATGGGGAGCTCAGATGACAAAGTTGTAGCTGTGATCATGGTGGGTGGACCCACTAAAGGTATGCAATTCCCCAATATAATTCTGATTCTGGGTTTTGATTCAATTGTGTATAAATCTCATGATTTCAGTTTATGTTGAATTGAAATTGAATGAACCCATTTACCAATTATAGACTTTGATTGAATTTTGTGGCATGTTTTGATGAATTGTAGTTTTTTTATTCTATTTAGGACATTACCATTTTGTTGATTTTGATTATATTTTGTGGCATAATCTGATATAATTGTTTTTTTATTCTTTTCTTTTCATTCTTATTTGTGTAGAATTGAATCAACCCATTAGTTCATTACCAATTTGTTGATTTTGATCATATTTTGAGGCGTAATCTGATAAAATTGTTTTTTTATTCTTTTCTTTTCATTCTTATTTGTGTAGAATTGAATCAACCCATTAGTTCATTACCAATTTGTTGATTTTGATTTAATTTTGTGGCATAATCTGATAAAGTTGTACTTTTTTTTTTCTTCAATTTTAATTTGTGCAGAATTGAATGAACCCATTACAATTTGTAGATTTTGATGTGCATGATTTGATCATATTGTAGTTATTTTTGGACAGGTACTCGATTCAGGCCTTTATCTCTGAATATTCCAAAACCTCTTTTTCCTTTAGCTGGACAACCTATGGTTCATCATCCAATTTCAGCTTGTAAAAGGGTATTTGCTTTCACCAATTTGAAATTGCATTTTTTTTCTTGGATTAATTTTGTAATATGCATTGCTCAAAATTTCAATCCAATTATAATTTGTTGGCACTTGGCAGATTCCTAACCTAGCACAAATTTACTTGGTTGGTTTCTATGAAGAGCGGGAATTTGCATTATATGTATCTTCAATTTCTAATGAATTGAAAGTTCCTGTCAGGTGAACACTTCCTTAGCCCTTACAAGTCTATTGGATTTTTGGTCTTGTTGAAACTTGAAGCCTTTTATAGAATCATTGTTGTAACTTTTGGAACATTTTTGTCAATGTGGTTCAGATACTTGAAGGAAGACAAGCCTCATGGTTCTGCTGGATGCCTGTATAATTTCAGGGATATAATCATGGAAGACAGTCCGGTTAAGCTCTCCTTATTTCTTTTTATGATTATAGATGATTAGATTAACTTGATGGATGTTGATATGTGTTAATGTGTAATTTGATGTTTGTATGTTGATCTTGTGGAGCTGACAATGTGGTTGCTTTTCTTCTTTGTCCTGCAGTCGCAAATATTCTTGTTGAATTGTGATGTTTGCTGTAGTTTTCCTTTGCCAGAAATGCTTGGTAATTTACTTATTATGTCATAGTCTATCTTATCATAACTTCTCATCATGGGTATTCAAAATTTGTAAGTCCATTTACCTTATGTCCTTATGATATTCAGAGGCTCACAAAACATATGGAGGAATGGGAACTATATTGGTTAGCAAGGTTAGTCAGCTCTCTTTGTGACTCGTAGATGCTGCATCTTCCTGTTTGGGAATTTCTTGCACATATTATATAATTAGTGCTTCAGTATGTTGAATTTTTGTTAGGTGCACTTGACAGGTTTCTGCAGAGTCTGCCAGCCAGTTTGGTGAATTGGTTGCTGATCCTGTCACCAATGAAGTTTTGCATTACACCGAGAGGCCTGAAACTTTTGTATGTACAAAGTCCTGAGCTTTATTTTTTTGTATCTTTGCATCTCCTCTTTTTAGTGCTTGAATATGTTATGCTTGTATCATGTAGGTTAGTGATAGAATAAACTGTGGGGTCTATGTTTTTACACCAGACATTTTTTCAGCCATCCAAGATGTTTCAAGACACCGAAAAGATTCAGGTGATTCACTCAAAATTTTCAATTTTTTTTTGGGCATGTCCGAGGGATTTTACATTATTGCACTTCTTAACTAAGTTATCACCACTTACATAAGTTACACCAGTATTTTCTGCAAAATGATATGTGATCATCTATTGTTGCTTTGATTGTCTCCAAATCTTGAGTATAATTGCTTGTGTCATGTGCTAAATTCACATGCATGTACATTTGAAGATTATTGAATTGTTCTCTTATGTGATATGTGCAATAAACCTATGTTCATATAATATAGCAAAGTCCTAATTTTTCTTTTTTCATTTTAGTTGCTTGAACTTGTCAGTTTAGCTATTCAAATTTAAGCCTAAGATAAGAGTTGTAAAGAGTTGGAAATTTTCCTTATGCAATTTGGAATGTGGACACCCGAGAAGCTCAAATGTGAGCAAAAGCTTGCTCTGTTCTGGGAGTACCTGGGAGAATTATATCAACAGGGATTTCCATATATTGAAAGGTCTAAAGGAATAGTTTATAATTCTGTAACAACTATGTGATATAATTGATATTAGAATCGGCCCATAATCTCCATGAAACAGAATCATTATATGTGGGGTTTTGTGATTTTTTTTTTTTAAGTGTGTAAGAAAGCCAAGAAGGATAGTTGTGTAGACGGGATTTGTTCCCAAGTTTTGGGTGGTTCTACCTCTAGACTCTTAAGAAACTAAGCTATTGGCAATTTGGCATCCACTGTAGATAGATACCTGAATGTGGTTGTATTATAAATTTGATTGTAAAAGGAATTATTAATGCATAAGAATGACTGATTTGGTATTGTTCATTTAAAGAACACTTAAAGGTTTAGTTGAGAGGCTAAAACATGGTCATCTCCTTCTCTTTCCTGTTTTCTTTTAGGTGCTGGCTTGCCAGGTAGGGGTGTGTCTCAAAGGTTTGAAGTGCTAAAATTCATACATTACTGGGGAAGTGTTTGTTAATATAAATATTAGTCAAATTTTGAATTTTGGGTCATGTCCACTTGCAAAGCAAGGCAATAGGTCTTTCATTATGAATCATAGTGTAGATTTAAGTAGACCTAGAAGCAAACATAGGGAAGAACAGAGGATCCCTCCTCTAAATATGGGATGACAAAAGGTTCTACCACAACCTTTATGGATTTATCTATAAAGGAACTCTCAGGATAGAGTATACACAGTTGAGAAATCACATGTTGGGGGATAAAAGATGAAGAAAATGTAGTTAAGATGTCAAGTTAACAAATTGTTGGTGAGGAGAAAATATTTTGCAATGATTTAAGTTGTAGCCTTCAAATGCGCGGATGAGGTTTTTAAGGTTGATAACATTGGTTCTTAGAGAAAGCTAGGGACCAGAGGAGTTGTACATATGAGATGAGATGTGATACTTAGATTACAAACATGAATAGTACAGTAGTACTGGTATGATGATTCCATAAAAGTATTATTACTATCCATAGTCTATTAATCAACACACATGTGAATAGTAGTATGATTATTCATAGTTACATCATATATATATATATATATAAAACATGTGTTCTTTTCCAATTCCAAACCATAGTGTGAAGTCACATCACATCACTATTGTCAAGTCCTATCATATTATGACATCACATCATTATAGATATAATTACATAATATGACATATTATACTTATATGACAACATTAGGATTCATATGACATCATTATTGTCAAGTCACATCACTTCAATATACTCATATGACATCATTATTGTCAAGTCACATCACTTCAATATACTTATATGACATCATTATTGTCAAGTAATATCACTTCCATCATTATTATATGACATCATTATTGTCAAGTCACATCACTTCAATATACTTTTATGACATCATTATATTCATATGACATCATTATTGTCAAGTAATATAACTTCAATATACTTTTGTGACATCATTATATTCCAAAATTTCAAAATAGAGACATAACTCATTCTTGGTGCTTTATAGACATCTTTATAGGTGTGTTATGGTTTCAAACCACCTTATATGACCCCGGGAGTCACCCCACGTAATTAGTTCAGTTTTCGAAAAAATGTCAAAAAATGACCCGAAATCGTGTAATATAGCCTTCAATTTTGGAATATTTTTCACTTTCTTAGACCCGAAAATAAAAATTGCCGAGATGCTTCCCATGGACCCTAATACACCCCGGGAGTCCATTTGGGTGGGTAAAACCATCCAATATACATTCAAACTGTAAATTTACCCGTTTACATCGGGCATCGATTTCATAAACTCAAGGCTACCACGGACATTTATGGCAACATATAATGATCATATATGGTTCCAAACGACATTATATGACCCTGGGATGTAATCCCTGGTATCTCGAGACTTTTCGACACCGGGTCCCGAAACCTCTTAAATTGGCCAAAAAGCGTGTATTATAGCATTCAATTTTGCCAATTTTTGACTTTTTTTTTTACTCGGAAACAAAAATTTCCGAGAAGCTACCTATAGACCTAATACCCTCTAGGAGTCCAATTGGGTGGATGAAACCATCAAATTTGCCTTTAAGCATCTAATTTGTATATGGGTCCAAACAACATTATCTGACCTCGGGATGCATCCCGTAAAATTCCATGAATTTCTGACACCGGGTCCGGATACCTACTAAATTGCTCCCATTTCGTGTATTATAGCCTTCAAATTTGGCTTCTGTACATCATTTTTCCACCCGACAAGATTATGCATCCAAGTACTTCCATGGGTTCCCAAAGGGCCTTGGGAGTCATGGATGATGCCCAGAACCATCTCATTTATCCTTAAACGCCATGTCTTAAGGCAACGATGGCATACCCTCAAAATGACAAAACTAGTTGTTTATATGCCTTGTCCTTGGGTGCACATGTCTTGTGCACATTCCACACGCCCCCTTGCACCATCCCACACCCCAACACTTTGGCTTTGTCACTTGTCTTAATCCACTACTTAGCATATAAGAAGCAACGCTAACCTCGTTTTCCAAAATATAGGTGTTTTTAGGGAATAGGATTGGGGGGGGGGGGACGAATCGAAACGACATAGGGCTGAATCTCAGTGGATCGTGGCAGCAAGGCCACTCTGCCACTTACAATACCCCGTCGCGTATTTAAGTCGTCTGCTAAGGATTCAACCCGCCGCTCGGTAGGAATTGTATTTCAAGGCGGCTCTCACGGCGCATCCACCGCGTGAGCTTAGCCTACGACACGTGCCCTTGGGGGGGCGAAGCCCCTACTGTAGGACGGCAATCAGGCGGCGGGCGCATGCGTCGCTTCTGGCCCGGATTTTGACTTAGAGGTATTCAGTCATAATCCAGCACACGGTAGCTTCGCGCCACTGGCTTTTCAACCAAGCGCGATGACCAATTGTGTGAATCAACTGTTCCTCTCGTACTAGATTGAATTACCATTGTGACACTGTCATCAGTAGGGTAAACTAAAACTAACCTGTCTCACGACGGTCTAAACCCATGCTCAGTCTGAGGTTTAGGTTTTTTTATTTTTTTTTTTATTTTTTTATCCATGTTAGAAATGTGCCTCCTTGGCTTTACTTTGAAAAAAAACCTTGGTCTGATTATCAATTGATCATAAAAACTAACCAGTGTGCACTTCAACAACCCATAAGGTTTCTTCCAAGATGTTGTAGTTGTTATCTCATGAAGAACAAAAAAGTTCTCAAAAGGCACGATTTGCTTACAGCCTTCTCAATAGGAGGATGCCCTTGCTCTCATTTCAAGTATAAATCTGCCAATATGGATGATAGATGGAGACTATGGAAGATTCTTTGGATGTGGGAAGCTTTACGCTTTGTTTGGATAGCAAAGAAGGAAAGGAAGGGGAGGGAAAAATGAGGAAAGGGAGGGGGAGGTGAGCTCCATTTTCCCTCCAAATTCTGAGGGATTATGCTTATTAAAGAGAAAGGGAAAATGGATCTCTCCCTCTCCTTCCCCTTCCTTCCCCCAATATTTCACCCAAACAAGAGAATTTGTCTCCCTTTCTCTTTTCTTCTTTTCCTTCCATTTCTTTCTATCCAAACAAAGTGTGGGTGTTATAATTTCTAAAGTGGTGTTTTAAATGAGTTTTAATCACCTGCAGAGTGTAATGCTGTTTAGTATGTCATTCAGTCATTCCATCAAATTTAGAACAAGTAACCATTCATAAAAAGCTGCAAATCATTTACTTGTACATCCAGATTTTCATTACATTTCTTGTGGTGAAACTTTTCGGTCTCTTTGAATTCTTGTTTTTTCAATTAGCACTAGTAGAATTTTGTAAAAGAAATATTTTTACACGGTGACTAATATGACATAAGCAAAGGCAATGTCTAGAAATATGCAAATGTTAAAGAAAGGATATATGATATTTTATTTTCATCTTAGTGCCTATTGTCTTCTTTCCTAACCCAATTCATAAGGCATTCAAGTTTTATAGGGCTGGAAAACTTGTAGTGTTTGTCTAATAAACCGATACGTGTTCCTTTTCTTTATGGGAGTGATGGCTAGTTATGTCATTGAATAATCTTGTCAGTATTCTGATATTAATTGAATTTACTAGCATCTGATTCTGATCTTTTCCCTGCAGCCAATATGAGACGTGTATCCAGCTTTGAAGCACTTCAATCTGCGACAAAGTAATGTTCTCCATTTCTATAACTTGTTTTAGCTTATAATTACATGTAGCAGCTATCAGAGCACGTCCTCTGTCACCCTCTACCACGATCATTGCTTTGTGTTCTTTATAATACTACATTTGCTGTCTTAAACTGATGCCAATACTACATTTGTGTTCTTTGACAAACTCTGTCACTGCCTACTTGGGGCTTCTTAAACTGCTATCCTTAAGATACTTGGAATTGGAATGGAGACTAAAGTCCAAAGCTTCATATATATAGCTTTAAGTAAATGTCCATGGCTTGACGTTGGTCCTCTGTTGTGCTACAGGCAACTGAACAATTGTGTTATACTTAATTGATGTTGTCTGCTTTAGTTTGTATCGAAGCTCTACATCTACGCACAGTTAAGAAAGTATAACTCTGCTTCGGTTATCTGTTACAGCAAATATACATTTGTTCCACTTGTAGGTTAAACGAGGGAGAGGGACCGAAAATGACTTGGTTGGAAGGAGTTAGGTATGATATGGAGCATATGGATTTGCATGAGAATGAGGTATTTGATCTTAAGGGTTGGAGGAGGAAGATTTTTGTGGATGACTATACGGAATAATCACATTTGGTTCATGGAGCCAACCCCACTTATGGGATTAAGGTTTTGATTGATTGATTGTAGGCTTAAAGAGCTGGGTGCCAAAGTTTAGAAAAAAGATAGGGTATAAATGAAGCAATTTGATAATCTTATTGACCATTGTATACGCTAGTTTTTTAATTTATTAACCTATATTAATTTCAAACTTAATCAGAAATTGAAAATTATCTTTCAAAATTTGTAACTCCAAATTTTCTTAATCTATCATCCGTAAAACCTTAAATATCACTATTTGGAGAATGGGTCAATTCAGCTGAAATCTAAAGTCTTGTTTTAAAGGTCAAATTGTTTTCTGGTTATAGCATAAGTTTGCTGATTGAGGGTAAATTTTGTAAGCTCATGTGGAGTATAGTTTCTATTACAGTAGTATAAGGTTAGATTTGCATATATGTTTTACTCTTTACGTAAATGTGATAGAGGATATTTTAGAGAAGTATTATAAAGCTGAATTCTTATTTGTCTGGATTGTCATTTTCAATGGTGTCAGGGATACATTGTATTGTGAGTTTTGGATATTAATGGACTTACGATCAAATTTAAATGGTGCATTAAATACCCATGCTTCTTAATTTCTTATTCTTGTGAAGTAGCATATGGTCCTTTTTTTATTTTAAAGGAATTACGAATAATACTCTTATAGCCATGGTGCATTAAACTACCCTTACATCTTATTATTGTGAAGTAGCATATGTTCAGCGCTTTTCAAATCAAGGGACAATTACTAAAAAGTTTCTTTATTACCATGATGGTGAAGGGCTAAGGATACTCCCATGTCCTACCCCACCCAAGGCCGGCTCCTGTTTATAGGCATTGAAATAATGCCGATGTTTACCTTAGTTGTGTTAGATAAGACTAATTTTTTGGTAGGTGTATGTATTCTTATATAAGCCTATGTAGCTATTAGGGTACTTGGACGTTAATTTTGCATGTAATTGATCGTCAATTTTACAAAAATTGCTGGACTAAATAGACCTTCCTGTTTCTCTCACAGGAGTCTGCCCTCAGATTTTGTGAGGCTGGACCAAGATATTTTGACACCGCTAGCTGGAAAGAAAAAATTGTATACATATGAGACCATGGACTTCTGGGAACAAATCAAGACCCCTGGGTAAGATGAATTAATATAAATATCAACTTGTTTAGTATTTTTTTATTTTTTGGTGGAAACTTGTTGAGTATTATTTTTCCCGCCATCATCAATTATCAATTATTGCAGAATGTCTCTGAAATGTTCTGGTCTCTATCTGCACCAATTTCGAGTGACCTCCCCACATCTTTTGTCAAGTGGTGATGGAACAAAGAGTGCGACCATAATTGGCGATGTATACATTCATCCCTCAGCTAAAATACATCCCACAGCAAAGGTATAATTAATGCTCTTTGTTTTGATGAGTAATCTGATACAAGATCTTGCTATGGTGCTACTTTCTGAATTCTATACACGAATTCTCCTGAATGACAACAGATTGGTCCAAATGTTTCAATCTCTGCAAATGCTCGTGTAGGAGCTGGTGCGAGGCTCATCAACTGTATTGTTCTAGATGATGTTGAAATCAAGGTGATAATTAAAATGTTGAAATTTGAAATGTGCATGTAATTCTGTGAAAAAGTTATTGACCTGTAAATAATTGTGATTGATATTCCAGGACAATGCAGTTGTTATCCATTCAATTGTTGGGTGGAAATCAACAATTGGAAAATGGTCTCGAGTTCAGGTAAGCATTTATATTATGTTGCTTCAAATGTTACATTGCTTGGAATATACCAATGTTTTCTTTTGAATATCAGCTGCTGGTATATGCAAAAACCAATCCATATAAATCCTCTTACTAGAATGAAATTCATATCAATATAACTTCCTAAATTGTTATTCAACTAGGGGTGATGAGTACCTTAGCCAGCTTGCAAGCTAATCAAGCGTGGTCCAAGTATTTTCAAGTTGAGCAAACGTAGGGCTCAACTTGAAAGGCTTGTGCGCAGGCTCAAATTTCTATTAACTATTGTATATTCATATAATATATTTTGACATGCAATTAATGGCTAAGATCTTACGCAATACTTGTTAGAATGTTGAAAAAACTTGGAATTAAGAATGTTGTAAACTTGTAACCTAAAAGGGTGTTTGCTTTGTTACGGTTTTTACACTAAGAAACAAAATCAAAATATATTTTAGCTCGGGTATAAGTTTAATGAGCAGTCATCCAATAGTCCCAATATGAGGATTATAAACTCTTTAGTTTCACGTTGTAGTCTATATCTATCCTGTTTGTATTTTTGTAGGGCTTTTAAGATTTCTGATGTTACTTGATGATTCTTAACAGGCTGAAGGAGAATACAATGCGAAACTTGGAATCACAATTCTTGGTATTTTTACTTGCTTGTATAGAATGTGTTGTTTTATGTCTCTTCCGGTGTATTTTTTCGTGCCCTGATTGCTTGGTGCTTTTTTTTTTTTGTTTTAATGCAGGGGAATCTGTAAATGTAGAAGATGAAGTGGTGGTGATCAAGAGCATTGTGCTTCCAAACAAGACTCTTAATGTCAGTGTCCAGGAGGAAATCATACTGTAGCCAAATGCCAATACTTCCATGAAGTCATGAACACCTTTTTTTGTCAACTTATTAATACTGTTTCTTCCCAATGTATCAATTTCATAGATCTTATACTGACAATCTTCATCATTTTGTACCGCTAATGCGTAATTGTATATGTTTTTCTAAAGAGAATAATTTTGACTCAATAAAAGTTTATTTTTGTTTCATCTAATATCTGTGTATAGCTTTAAATGTTTAACTCTATCAATTGTTAACAATGTGATGCGGAGTAGTAGGGATAATTTCAGCAAAATACAATGATCAATATGACAATAAAAGAAACATGTCAAATAAAAAAACAACGGAAGTATGTAGCAATCAATTAAGAACGGAAAAGGTATTAGTATCATACTATCATAGTAAATGTATAATTTATTGGTACATTTGGTGGTTTCAGGTTATTAATCAAGGAAATCTCCCTCTGATTTTTTGCCCTTCCAGCTGTATTCGAGACATTGAACCACCAAAACTGTTATACTACGTATTTGGAACCCTTTCCTTAAATGGTAAGGATGTCTGAACCTGCATTACTAGTTTAGTACTACACAAGAATCATAACTGTTAAGCTAGGGTGACCATGAACCTGACCCTTGATTCCATATGATCAAACCAAAATTTTTATTATTAATTCAAGTTGGGGTATATTGAGAAATTTAAACACATTAGATTAAATCAAGTGATCAAGATTCATATTTAATTTGGACTTGGATTTTCAACCAAGTAAATGTTGAATGTTCACAGTGGTAAGTTTCGGCATAAAGACAGCACAAATCCATTGCAACTATCTTGTCAAATTTCTTTGCAATGAGTTGTATAGCTCTACACAATTGTACTAAGAAAAATTCCCCATACTCGGGGACATTTTCCAACATTCTGCAAACAGTGCTATTCTTTAGTGTTGAAAGAGCAATTCCTAGTAAGCAAAGACGCATTTGATGGCTCATGAAGGTGCATATCATTAATCCACTCAAATAACCTCATGGGAATTTGACAACAAATCCATTTACAATGTTGAGTTTCTTCCCAATCCTTCAAATTTTTAGCTTCGCCCTTGTTTGTCCCGTGAAGAAACAAACGAAGGGTTGTGCAAGCTCTCCCTAAATTAGGCATGTTGATTTGGTGCATTGAGAAAATGCATCTGAGCCATCTGATATTTTGTGTTGGACTTCCGAATGTGTAGATAACAAGCAAACTCCCGCTGTTGTGATTCAAGCTCTAAGAATGGCCATTGTTTGGTGTTGGTTAAATGTATCAGGAAACCTGCTCAAGTGACTTCCCAGCTACTTCTGAGTACCAAGATCTCCATGCTTCCGTATAATGGTCAAACAGATCTCTCAAAGCTACAAATTTATCACCAATATACTTGTTAGAGGCATGAAAAAATCCAAATGTACTAACAGAAGCAAAAAAAAACGAGTTTACATTGTACCTTGATTGTGATACTGAGGGCGATAAACAGAGGCAAGACTTTCCAAATCGTGGACACGCTTAGTGTCTTTCTGATCAGCAACACCAGCTTTAGCCACGGTGACCGGAGCAAATGGACCATATTGATAGCTTCTTGGTCTTGCATTCTGCTCAGCAGGGTTTGTATGAAACTCATTTTCAACCTTTTCTGTTTTTACCTGCAGCTTGAGCTGCTTTCCTTCCTCATTAGCTGAAAAATCAACCTTGCTCCTTTTGAAACTGATGTTTGTAACATCAGTTCCAAATGCCCTTTTCTTAGTCTCAGTCGACATAGGCACACCACATATAGTATTCTCCCTCCTTTCATTTAAGCCCAACCACCTGAAGGCTGGCTTTCGGGTCTCTGTTTGATGAGTCTGGTTATCGTTCAACAAAATACTTCAGAATGTAAATTTTACTTAAAAAACCCATGAATGATAAGCTCTCTAATGATTTTTAAACAAAAGGTCCAGAACCTGACTCAAACTATCATGAATAAGATACAGACAATGTGGGTCTAATGTCTAGCATTTCACTGATTTCCAACTATAACAAACTCACAACAGGATTTTCTCAATATAACAATAATACCTTTTCCAAGTAGTAACTATACATCATATTGCACAGTAGAGATAATTATGCAAACACCTAGTAAGAGCATGGTATGAGTTAAAAGACTATATCTGCCAATGTAGTATTATTGTTCTTACCTTTTCAATTAGTTGCATGGAGGACAACACGTTGGCAATATCATACAACCGTCTGACTTTGGCTGCATTATCTTATTAAGGAAGAGTTAGATACTGATAAAGTGTTATAAGTAACCACAAAACTAAAGGGAGTGGAATAGAAAACCCTACTTCGCATTACTGTACTGTTGTGACCATCACCAAGCAAGATCTTTGCAGCTTCATCCAACGAGATAAGATCAACCTAAAAATTAAAACCATCACAAATAAGTTTAGAGGTAAAGAGGGAAAATATAAGGTACAAGAATATGAGTTCTGCCGTTATTCATACATTAGAGCATATGAACAGCTTGACAAAGTTCTGTGTCAAAAGCCCCAATGACTTCTCCCTTCTATTGTCTGCAAAATTATCAAACAAATGATATTAATTCTCACTACTTAACTATGAAACATTGATCTCTATTCACAAAATATCATGGAAATCCCATAATACCTTAATAAGAAGAATAAAGAACACATGAACCATCAATTGTAAGATTACAGCATTAAGCGAAGAAGTTACCAGGCTTTGAATTAGCATTGTTGCTTGGTGCTTCTGGCTGACTTATAGTATCAGGATTAGAATTAGTATCCTCATCATCGTCAAAAACATGAAACTACAAGACAAATTACGATAATTAGTCATTTGTTTTGAACACCAATGGACTCACATAATAAAGACCAAGTCCCAAAATAACCCAACTCACCTTCATTTTGCCACTTCCACTAGAGCCAAAATTGTCCCTCAAACCTTCTTCCTAATGATTACAAATACAAGATAAAGAGACTCAATAAGCTTCAAACATTATGCGCCATAAAAGATCATAATTTGAATTAAATGTTAGGTTTTTGTTACCTTAAGCGCAGCAAGAGCTTTGGGAATTCCTTTAAAGCCCTTCCATGTATACTGATTTTTTGCCTTCCTTGCTAACACCTACACCCAATTACACTCCAACTTTTATCACAAAGTAAACACAAACTCAAGATGAGCAATTCTCAACTACTTATCAAAGAACAAAAACATTTTATCTTTATTTTTTCATTGAATTAACATTACCAGTTAATCAAAAACACATTGTTTAAACATAACAATCTAAAATTGAATGCCAACTAGCCTAATTGAATTTAGGGACCTCGCGAAGTTGTGATACCCTAATTTTTGTCTATATAGAAATAAAAATACTCAAATACGGTTGTTCTTGGTATCATTTTGGCCGAGGATTACTAATGAAAGTCGTTATAAAGACCAAATGGATCGAATAATATGCAAAAACTCTAATTTTTATGCCACATAAATATGCAAACTAATCAAATTAAAATAAACAAATAGTACGGAGTAGAGGGAAATCAATATTACCCCAACACTTTCCAAAACATTGACAATATCATAGATCCGCCGTCTCTCAACTCCTGCAAAAATCCAAACAAAAATTACAAATCAATTAATATACAGGAAAATTAAATAAAATTCACAAAAAAAAAAGGTCAGATCTAGTATACCTAATTTATTGGCAGCATCATCCAGTCCAATAGATTCAACCCCGTCTCGATTATACAAGCTCAAAAAACTGCGAATTAAGCACACCCAAAATTACAAAGAAGAAAATCGATTCAAATTTAAAATCCTATTTTGAAAAATATATATATATATATATATATATATATATAATTAAAATTAAAAATAAATAAATAAATAAATAAATAAATAAATAAACAAATTGAATAAAAAAAATATTGAAGAGAGACAAATTACTTGGAACATAATAGACCCAAAGATTTCTGCTTCCTACTGTAAGTATGGTGCCTAGATCCAGAACCTTCTGGAGCAGATGAAGGTGGTGAGGTCGCCATTAAAGACACTTCAAAACTTTCTCTCTCCTCACTTCACCGAAACAAATAAAATAGACCCAGAAAAATCCAACAACAACCCAGAAAAATTGAAGAAAAATTAGAGCAACCCAGAAAAAGATGGGAGATAAAGGGAAGATTCAAAGGACCGTTGAAATTAGGGATTGGCGGGGGCGAAGAGGAAAGTAGGAAATTTGGGGGAGAAACAAGAAAGAAGAATAAAGGAGGTGATTAGAAAAACAGTGATTTTGGGTTAAATTTATTTAGGGTGGTGATTTTGAAACTTCAAAATAAGCGGGAATTTGAATTTACGTTGTTGCGGCTACGGCGCTCAATTTATGGGTTTTTGGTCAGAATGACATATTTACCCCTACGAACGAATTATGGTGTATTAGGAGTGAGGTTTTGATGAGGGTATGTTGGTCATTTTGATGAGTGGGGTAAATTTTTTTAATTATGGTTGTTTAGTGAATTTGTTTATTAATGATTATGTGATCACGTGGCTGTTTGGCAGAAAGCATGAGAGGTTTTTTGGGGGGATTTCTCTTTCTTTTTTTTTTATGTTTTTTTCCCGCTTTTGTTTCAAATCGTGAATATTTAAGGAGGGATAATTAAACTAATGAAGGATTAATAATGAACATTTTTTTTTGAAAGCTAACGGACAATATTTTTTGTAAAAAAAAAGCCCTTTTTCAGATGCACCTTTTAGGTCCCCGGGCTCGATAATATGCATGCCCTATTATTTTCAGAAATTCTGGCATATTATTGGTTCTGATGTGATTACCTTTGTTGAAATTGGTGGCATGGTAATACTGATTTGACCGAAATTAACTGAACCTGTATAGTCTTAATTCCGAAATGTGAATATCCAATACATATGACGGAATTTAAATCCATTAGTTGTTGTAATGTTCTGTATAAAATTGTTTCAAAGGTGATGTCAAACAAGTTGAAACCTTTTCTGGATAAAATTATCTCAGTCAACCAGAGTACTTTTATCCCGAAAAGAATGATTACGGATAAAGTTATCTCAGTCGAATTTCGTACGGATTCTATCTTCTAAAAGTATCGCTGGGCGATAATATCGCACTGTGATGCTAATATCGTGCAACGATATAAGCATCGGGCGACAGTATAAGCATCGCACAACGATATAAGCATCGGGCGACAGTATAAGCATCGCACAACGATATAAGCATCGCGCAACGATGAAAGCAGTTTTACTCCGAGTCGGATTCTGACTCTTTTCTAATCTTTCAACCTTCTTTTTTTCCCATAAATAGAGGTCGTTTCCCCCTTTTTTAATCATCAACAAGCTTGATCACCAATAATCATCATCTTAATCCTTCTCTAAGCTAAAGCTTATTCTTCTCTCTCTCTTTCTTGATTTCTAGCATAGTCTTAGCCTAAACACAAACCGACACGTTCAAGAACACTCACCCTCGATACTTTTCCCTAAACAAACACCATACCTCCATCACGAGATTTGAATACTTCAAGTCAAACTCATAGTTGCCTTAGACCTCGACGTGAAAGGTTGATAGTTCTGAGGGTTTGGTCCCAAATACATATTTCAATTATTATTTTATTGTTTGTTTAATCTTTTTTGAAGTTTACTAACGTGTGTATTATTTTGATAGAAAGAGGTATGAGGCATCAAAGTGAGTAATTCGATTACTTAACTATTCATTTGATATGGAAATCTTACTTAGAATCTTATATTGATTCCTAGTATCATGTTCAGATGCTTTTATAACTCCTAGTATGATAGGATGCTTTTATGATTTCTAGTATTATTTAGGATGTCTTTATGCTTTCTAATATCATGTTTAGGATAAAAGCTTTAATCTTTATTATTAGTGACATGCTAGGATTCGTTATTAATCCGTTTAGTATCTATCATGCCTAGCACTACTAGAAAAAGGCTGATTTCCGACGAAATGCTTCCGACGGACACGAAATTCCGTCGGAAACATCGGAACTACCGACGGATTTTTATTCTGTCGTTTATTTACGATGGATTTTAACATTCCGTTGGAAATCCGTCGGAAAAAATATGCTTTCCGATCGAAAATTCCATCGGAAAGTTAAATTTCCGACGGAATTAAAATTCGTCGGATCGGAATACAATTATATATATATATATATATATATATATATATATATATATATATATATATATATATATATATATATACACACAGCCTTTCTTAAAACCCTAAAGCGAGAAAATTCCTCAGTGCTCCTTCATTTCATTTCCATCCTTTCTCTCTCTTCCGCCCTTCTCTTTTTCTCTCTTCCGCTTCTCTCTTTTCCTCCGCCCCTTCTCTTCTCCAATTTCATACTCTTCGCCTCCTCTCTCCTCCTCCATCTCTTTCTATCCACCATCTTCTCCTTCTTTCATCTCTTTCCTCATTTCTCTTCTCTTCTCTTACTTGGTGTTTTCCATGGCCGAAATTAATGGTTTTTTGGTCAAATTCGACCATGAAAAGTGTAGATCTACACTTTTTATAGTCAAATTTGACCTATTTAAACCAAATTCAAGAATTCAAAGCCAATTTCAGATAATAAGGTATGTTTTTCGAGTCTTTTATTTTTTTGGTTTTTTTTTTAATATTTTCGGTTGTTGGCTGTACGGTGTGGTTGTGGTGGCCTGTGTGGTGGTTTGGTGCCTTGGTGGTTTGGTTTTTTGGTCAGATATGGGTCGGTTAGGAGGGTGGGTCAGTTTTAGGGTGAGGTGGGTTGGGAGTTTTTCGGGTTTCTGGGTGTTGGGTTGGGATTTTAATTTTTTTTTTTTTTTTTGTTTAATTTTTGGGTTGTGATAGTTTGTTTTGGTGGTGGTGGTGGCGGTGGTAGTTTTAGGTGGGTGGTGGGGGTGGTTTGCTTAGGTGGGTGGTAGATCTGGGCTCGTTTGTGTGGGTTAGGGTTAGGTGGGTATGGGTTTTGGTGGTGTGGGTGATGGTACGGGACGGGTTAGGGGGTTGGTGGTGTGGGCTGGGGGTGGGGGGTTAGTTAGGGGCTGGTGGTAGTGGCGGTGGTCTGATATAAGGGTAAGGGTTTATTTGGTGGTTGGTGGTGGTTGATACGCCGTGCCGTGGTGGCGTGGCTTTTTTTTTAATTCCTTAAAAACAGTTTTCGACCGAATTGTAAATTCCGTCGGAAATTTCCTACGGATTTTCCTAGTGCTGGAACACCTCTTTCGACGGAAAATTCCGTCGAAAATTTCCGACGGAATTTTCGTCGGAAAAAGACAAATTTCCTACGAAAGGTTTTCCGACAACCGGTTACAACGGAATTCCGTCAAAAACGGGTTTTTCGACGGATTTTGGGGTGGTTTCGACGGAATTTTTCCGTCGGAAATGACCCTTTTTCTAGTAGTGTAGGATCTTGCTAATTATGTTATGATATTATTATTATGATGATGGTTGTTGTGATAATTTCTTGATTATTCATGATTTATTGTTATTGCTTGATCACGCCCTTTTTGGCAAGTTTACAGAGAATTTGTACTTGAAATCACACCTAATAAGATAATTAATAATTTGATTTAGGCTAATATGATTTTAATTAACAATGCGTGGTTCGTGCATGCGAATGCACAATCTGTATGGTGCATCCTTTCCAAAAAGCGGAAAGAACATTTAGTTTAAGTGAAAAGAACATATTATAGAATTATAAAGAACATTGTATAGAAATGTAAAGAACATTCAGTTAAAGTGAAAAGAACATGTTATAAAATTGTAAAGAACATAACATGCTATTAAATAATTTTCTTTATCTTCATGTTCTTTGATTGTCAGTATAATGTACTTTTATTTGTGACATAATGTTAATTGTTTATTTTGAAATGTTATTTGAATTTTGTCTTTAGATTATGGTGGTTGAATAAAAATAATATTCATTACATTATATTATCATTAGAGGTGATAAAAAAAAATTAAGGTTGGGCCGGGCCTTAATATAATATCTCGTACCCAAACCCGGAAAATATAGCAGGCTTTTCGGGCTTTTTTCCGAGCCGGATTTGGATTTTTAACTAAAATGCATTTTTAGGCTTGTCCAAACCTGCCCTATTTTTGGGCCGGATCAGGCCGGGCCAAAGTTGTGACCTCTAATTATCATGTTCTTTATTAATATTACGGATGTTCTTTAGATATATATAAAGAACATAAAGTTGATGTTTTTTTTTACAAAATAGTTATATGTTCTTTACAAAATAACTATATGTTCATTATAATACAGCTATATGTGATCTTGTTTATGAAATAGCTATATGTTCTTCACAAACAACTGTATGTTCTTTGTTGAACAACGAAATGTTCATTCCGCCTTTTTTTAAAAGAAATTAAACGGATGCATGGAGCATCGTGCATCCGCCTCCAAGGAAAAAATTTCATGATTTTAACTCAAGTGATCGCCAATAATAGATTTATTTGTGTATTAGTAATCAACCAACATAGATTAAATATGCTTAAGATTAATTTAATGTATGTATGTTGATTGGAAAGCGCACATGAATATCATAAGAATTGAGTAGATTTCATTTAGGGCGGGTTCAATCTCTTTTAGGTTGGATTCGTACCATCATGCTCGAACGAATATCTAGTCATTGTTCTGGATCACTAAGGAGTTAGCAATCATTGTGATCGTGAATAGGGGGTAACCTTCACACCCGTGAATGGTTTACAAGTTCCTAAAACTTGTTAGCGACTCTTTTATCTCTAGCATCCTTCCTATTGGACGTCACCATGCTTAAATGCATGATCACAGCAGGGCTCAAAGTTAATGTTTGAAATATTCCCTACAAGTAGTATTCCAAGTAATGCAAAGGAACTCATAATTATGATGATTAAAATAGGTATAAAGGTGGTTAAAGGGTTAAATTATTGTGTTTTATTTTGGTCTTACGGTGATGTGTTCCTTTCATTCTCTGTTCGTTCTCCTCGCCTGTCATCCGAAAACATAGAATTAGGATCCTATTTTGGCTAGAAGGTGGAAAAAAGGATTGCGCATAAAATTATGTGCAGTATCACGGTGCTTTGAATCGTGATACTGTGCGTTGTACCGTGCCACAGTGCCTTGTATCGTGACGTGATACTTTGACATATTTTGCATATTTTTAAAACTTTCATAACTTTTGATCCATAACTCGGAATAAGGCATATAATATCGTTGAAAATATCTTTAAGTATAATTTTCAAACCAATTAGAATTAGGTCAAAAGATTTTATAGATTTTAAAATATATCCGTTTAAGTGCAAGAGTGTCGGTTTTGGGCCGAGTTTTAGTGTCTTGTTCACTTCTTTTTCATTTTGAATCGTAAACGGGCTTATGATATATCATTGGAACGCTTATTTAAGGCCTATTTGATCACATAAGATTTGGATCAAAGTTATAGGTCCAAAAAATGTGTTTTTCTCATAAAAAAGAGAAAATTGAATCATGGTTTGTGGATTTGGGCTAAGAAAAGGGATTGAATGAATGTTTGGGGTAGAAATGGATTGAAATAGGTGGATTGATATTTATTAAAATGGGCTAGTATTTCTAGCAATCCTTAATAATAATGCGTATCTTGACCAATTAACGGTAGAAGGTCATTGACGTCATTCATTACCGAGTTTGGGTTGGGGAGGCACAAATAAGTGTCTACAATAACAACTATTAATTTGAATTTAATGACGATATATAAAACGATTCATTTAATGATGTAAAATCATCCCTTTATATAATTTGTAAATTGTGCATTACAATTCCAATTGCACTACCACGACATGTTTATTTCATAAAATTTCAAGTGCAATTTAAATACAACACCCCTTATTGGGTCTGCAATCGTAATCAACGCCACACAAAGCCTTACAATACTTCATAGTACATTTATCTAAGGGTACACAAGCTTGACACTGGTTAATGATCTTTTTGTCAGGCCTTGAACT